TCCTTTGATGACAGTAATGTGGGTGCGAGTAAAAAGGATTGCTCCACAGTGTAGAGTAGCTAGGGAGCAATGGACCATACACAGCAAGTCAACTGCATCCAAAACCCAGCCACCAGGAACCAACATCAATGTGGGGGTAGGATGGGAATCATGTCGTTGGTGAGTTGACTACAATCCCAAACCCAGCCACTGGAAACCAACATTCATATGGGGGGTAAGAAAGAGGATCATATCATTGGCAAATCAACTGCAATCCAAAATCCAGCCATCAGGAACCAATGTCTATGAGGGGAAAGGAAAGAGGATCATACCATCAGCAAGTCAACTACAATCTAAAACCCAGCCACCAGGAACCAACGTCTATGTGGGGGTTCAACAAAGGATCATACCGGCAGAAGTCAACTGCATACCATCATCACCTCAATTTCATCAGCTAGGAGGAAGATACCATACCCACAGTGAGAAAATGTTGTACTGATCCAAGAACACCACATCCAGTCAAAAGGAATAAGATGTCAAGTATTGTGAAATATACCACTCAAAACTAATCATACAAGAACCTTCCCCAGTGCAGTAACATCATCAGCATATGAAAAATGTTGGATATACTATACTGTTTAGTGCAAGCATTATTATTTAGTTTATTTTGTGACTTAACATCTAATGATTGTTTAGTTTTCATGACAGGAGTGTTGAAGGTTGATAGTTTTTAACAGCGTTAGTTGTGACAAATATCCTTACATAACTCTTTATGAGTCTTAAGTTGCGTATGCAGTTGATTGTTGTACCAGGCTTTAAGTAATATTGTTGGCATCACATTACCCGAACCTTCAGTATTTTTCTCACCAAAAGAGTATTGTTGCATCATAGCAGCTCCTAGGTTGTAGAAAATTCCAGGCCTCTGTTGAACAAGGTATAAATATAGGTGACCAAGCAAGAGCAAGTTAAGTGAAGCGAAAGTTCAGTTAGAAAAACTTAGAAAATGTGAGGTTAGCCGCCGTGCGAGTGATTAGCCATAATAGGCAATATTTTAAAGCGAGTTTCACAGTTTAATAGAGATAAAGAGAATAATTGGTCTTAACAAAGGGTGTTCTAAAGTAAATGAACCCATCTGTGTGGACTTTGATGAAAAGGGGACAATTATTTAAGGTTCAGGAAACAACTGTGGTAACTCATGGGGTACTGTAAGTGAATTATTCACTGATGCTATTGTGATAACAGTAAAGAAAAATAACTCATCTTGTCAACTGGATTCTAAAGTAAGTGAATCGGTCTGTCTGGACTTTTGACAAGAAAAGAGAATAACTTAGTTTTAGATACAACTGTGATATCACAGTGTAAAGAATGTTTGTACATACGTTTGACCTGTTTTGAATCTATATTATTTTAAAACAAGTGGATTGTGTGCTGTTCGTTTATTGTTTGAATTTATCGCCAACAATTCACAGACACCTACTGTCGAAGAATCCCAGCCCATTCATATACAAAGAACCCTGACATAAATCTTCGAGGGATAGAGCAAGAGGAAGAGCCATAGTAACTTCCATGTTCATCCACTATGACCCATAACACATTAGTAGTAAACATGAGTCCAACCGAGTGAGGGTACAGAGACACATGTAAAACGTGTGAGGACTTATGTAGAAGGGTCCAGCTTTCAATTAAAAACCCAGACACTGGGAACCAACATCCATATGGGGGTAGGATAGGGGATCACAATCAAAGATGAACTGCAATTTTGATGGCTCACTCCAAAGCCACAACACCAGTTCAGAGATGGAGCTTCAGATTGGAGGACATCTTGTCATCTTACACCAGCAGAACACTGTCATATTCTCAACTGAATGGATTCATTATTGTTTACATCTTATATATCAATCACATTCAGGAGGTTATCTCCATGGTCCACCATCCCAGTGGCTGGGAACTGGAAACTGGTAATGACTCCCATCCATACTCCACTGGTAGAAAAAAAGGGGGGCATGAAGTTGATACAATACCCCATGTTGAACAAAATAAAGATAGTGCCTTGACCAACAATTTATAGGAATATGCAGATAAGCATTCAAGATGTCTAGCTTGGTCATCCATAGACCTGGAGAAAAAACCATCCTGAGGGTGAGAAAAGACTCCATGGGAAAGCTGGGTATAACTAAAAATTGATTGAGATAGGACAGATCGATCACGGACTGCCAGTCTTTAGTTTTATTGGGTACCACAAACAGAATGGAATAAAAACCTGGAGAAGGATGAGGTACAGATTCAATGGTTTTCTGAGAGAGAAGATTCTAGGCCACCTTGGACAGAAGACTGGTGGTAGGATCCCGAAGCAACTGAAAGGTTAAGGGTACCCAAGATAACAGAGGGGAAAGGAAGTGGATGATAATACCCAAGTAACTCAAAGACCTGTGGCAAAATCTTGCCATAGGGGAATTAAATCAGTCTAGCAACCCCTCACTGGGCTGGAACCCACCGGGTAATCACCAGTACTGTTGGCAACGTGTTTATCTGTGTCAAATAATACAACGAGTGGAGGAACCTCTAGAGGTAGGAGCTGGTAAGGGCTGGGAAGGAGCAAGTTGGAAAAAATTAATAGGTTTAGGCTCTGAATGAGACAAAGATAAAATGGTCAATTGCTGTCTCACTGATTCTAAAGTCTCAGGAACATCTCTGAAAACAGATCATTGCTGAAAAGGTGCCATACACAAGTCCCAAAGATATGTAGGTAGTCAACAAACCTGGGACAACAGAGTGTCTCTCTCCAGAAGACCCCAACAACAGAGAAACCACATGCGAAAGGAAAGAGCCAAAGAAGACAATGTGCCAAAATGGAGGTAACCAGGGAGAGAGTATTCCCAAAAAAAACCCTCAAGAGCACATTGGAAAGTAGGTGAATAGTGGACAGGTACTGTAGGAAAGTTGATAGGGTAAAAGGAATGCAGTGAAAACTGGACATGGGATAAATGACCAGGGTCCTCCTCCCACACAGGCAAAATTGATTCAACTGTTGAGAATCAAGAATAGGAAATTCAGCCTGATGGTAAGCTAATGCAAACTGATCTGAAGCCTGTGAAGCGTTAGGCATGCTAGTGCCCTCACACATCTGAGATACAAAACACTGCATGAATCCTACTATCCAGGGAAGGGGGAAACACAAAATACTGAGAGGATGGGGTATCATGTCACAAGGAAAGAAGGGAATTAAAGAAATAAGGAAAATGATTAAACAGAACACACCTGAGAAATCACTTCCAAAAACGCCATATTAGGCCTAGCCAATTCTGCAGTAGGGGTATAGGAAGACATTGCAAAACCAATCGGAGGAAAAAGGCTGTCAAATTCCTCATCATCCCTCAGCATATTAAGGAAAAAAATGGTGAACATCAGGAGCAGATGGCTGAATAATATAATAATCAATCTCATGTCAAATGAGAGCTGATAATTCCATAGTTGAGTCCCCCTCCCCACCTGCAGTTTATGGAATGTGAAAAAAAAATTTACAAGAATAGCTGTATCTGTGAGAGGAGGTAATGTACTGTATCGGAACTATCTTTAATAACACAGTTATGAGCTTCCCCAAACAACCTAACCTACTTAACTGAAGACCAGCTCTAGCATATATTTTACTCTTATCCTGAAAAACTACCCTACACGTCCAAACAGATCACCATTTACTCTAGCATATCCTAATAATAATCTTTTATTTAAGCCTTAGGTACTGCTAAATAATTAATTCCCACATATAACCTGAGAAAGTACTCCAAAATAGACACACATCCATTTCCATCATTAAACCTTTAAGGAGTTTATTACATTTATTAATCTGCTCTTTTGATTTGTAATTTTGAACATCACTTATTCCTGCATGCACTGCAAAAGAAAGTGTTCCTTGACACCAGCAACTCAACTGTCAACACTACCATCTGAGAAGCAAGTTCTAGTACAAGTTTTTCTGTTCTTTCCACTTAATATGACTTTATCCATATACTTAATGAGTACCCCACTATATTAACCTCTTTCTCATCTCTTTCCTCATTGCATACAACTAATGGTTCAAATCTCGCAGTGAATATTTTCCTGGCAATTATCACAACAGCAGCAAATGGTTTGATAGTATAATACCTTTTTTATGACAGTTTAATAATATACCAATTCTATGGAAGTTTTAAATGTTTTAATATTGGTACATTTTATTTACCACAAAGATGAAAAATAAGCAACAAATTTAACAATCTTAACCCAAGACAATGATAGCATTTGCTACTTTATTCAAAGTATGGCACTCTTTCATGCACTTACATGCTCGTGCGTGTCGTGTGTGTGTAGGTTTAGGTTTGGTAAAGGCAGATCATGTATACAAGCTTCAGGTTCATGATATACTGTTCAATTATAATACAGATAAGATCCAAATTATACTTGTTTACTTACTAGTACTGAATCTACATACTTCAATCAAAAGTATTTTTTTATGAACATATTATTTTTTGGCATTTCCAAGTGATCTTTTCTCCAAAACGGCAAAAGTTAAATGGCAGTGAAAATAGTATTTTCCAATTCTTGCTGTCGATGTCATTTTAATAATCCTTAAAACACCCTCTGCTTTCAAAACTCTTAGATTGATACCTGAATACTATTACTAACCAAACAAGTCTACATAGTCTTAACTTTTTTTCTTTTTGCTACTGTGTACCACTGTAACCTAGTGTTAACATTTTAAAACAATGTCATGTTTCCCATCTGAATTTTACTTTTACCCTAATTGTATCAACTTATGTTTTGCTTCATTAATTTCAGTTCCCAGGCTACTACTTCACTCTCTTAATAGTAATAGCATAATCTTCCCCAAAGCTATTTCCAACTTATCCTGAAGAAATCAGTCTCTGCAAGCGTAACTTTGTCTGTAACTGTAAAGTAGTGTGGCCTTCTGAAAGTCACAATTAAGCCTACGGTATACCTTATAGTACATATCACAAACAAGTCCAATACGGCTAGTTACCTACTTTGCCAAGTCGATCATTTTTCGAAAAGGGCTGGTATGGCATATCTTTGAATTGTTCTGGAATAGAACACGGTCCCCATCCCGTGGGGTTATCCTGAATAACTGGTGGATTGAAGTGAGCTGGCATTTTATTATTGTTAATGAACACAATATAAAATAGTTAAAATATTGTTCCACGTTTCCCAACTCGTACAAACATGGAAGAAATAAAATGACAACGTGAGTACCTCTCGCCCTCTACATTTTATGTACTTTTATTAGTCTATTAGTACACTGGCCTGTATAATAGTACAGTATTAGCATCATTTGTTATTGTATGTTTTTAATATTACTCATTGATTATTCCAAGAAGAAACTTTCCAATTTTCCATATCAAAAACTCAATGAATAAAGACTAATATAATTCAAGTGCAAATGATTAAAACAATCACTTATGAATAAAAAAAAAATATATATATAAACTAGAAATTCTTCAAACTACTGACTTTTTTTATAACATTCAGTATCGGGGAGATCCACACAATAGCCTATCTGCTCTCTAGTCACCGCAGGAATTGAACCCTGGATTTTAGCGCTGTATGCTAGTAAACTTATCGTTGACTCATCAGGAGACAAACGCCATAATGAATCATTTGTTTTGCACGTTGTTGTATTTCTATCTTCTTGCAGCCTCCAATGGCTCAGTGATAAGTTTGAGGGCTTATAACACTAAAACTTGGGTTTAAGTAGGTAGAAAACAGATAGCCCATTGTGTTGCTTTGTGCTTAAAAACAAACAAACAATCTTCTTGTAATATTATATTATTTATTCTTTGTTCTGCATATGTGCAATTTTCACATAACAAGTATTAATGTTGCTCAATACAATATATTGTGTTAGAATATCGATAGCAGTGTCTTTAAACGGCTCTTCAGATGATATGCAAATATTACAGCTCAATCTATTTTGTATGAGAATGACCAGTCATTTGGACAAGGCAAACTGGCCTGGGTAAATGAATGTTTTTTACATGCTAAGGAACGTTGTATTTGATCAGTATAATCTGTAACAAGTTCTTAAAGAGTTAGCCACTGAGCATATCCAGCCAAGGTGACAATCCGTCGTATTCTAAAATAGGTAAACACACTATGTTTAATAGATATTGTTCATTTTGTATTTCACTTTTTGCCCATTCTCTTTACTTCATTTTACATTCATGAGTAAGAGATTTAGTACTGTTCTGTAGTCTCTTTTTAGTTCAGTTTCATTTGGACATATCGCACTGTTACAGCACCCAGTGTGTATAACTGAGCAAATATATTGTATGAAACAATTCATTTTGTGTGTAAGATATATGGGGAACCACAGCAGTGGTATTGATTACAATATTGAATATTGATGGTTTATTTTGCTTAGATTTGTGTGTGCAAGCTTGATTGATTTTTGTGCTATTGAGGCTTCTATAGCCAACAAAGTCATGAATTCAGAAACAATTTGGTGCTTAAATATGAAACAAAATCTATATTGAAAAATGTCTTTTTGGAAGCCGAGGGGTTTATGGTCACATCAGTAATTTTGGGGTATATAGACACATCATGCGTTTTCTACCTTCTTATTTTAACATAGTAATTTTTGGAATTACTTGGTTATTCTTTTATGCGCGATTTTCACAACACACTAGGCCAACAAAGTCGATAAGTTTATTTCATTATAGCTGCCTTTGTTCCTTTTTTTCCAACCATGGATTTAACACCTGTTCTGCTAATGGACAGTAATGTTATTGTGGTAATCCAGTTTCCCAACAAGATATATAGACTCGCAGGTAACAGTATGTCCACTCAAGAACTAAGAAAATTTTCTGTATGAGGGAATTAGACTGAGTTTCTTTTTAAGTGTGGATTAAAAAGTCTGAACAACTTTAAAAGAATGAACAGAAGTTTTATTATACAAATAAAACAGAAAGCGCAGTGTGCATGCGTATGCAGAGGTCTGGACAGTCCTTTTTTACTAGACTGTTTATAGTCCTGCAGCCTTCTTTCTCTAGGAATTGATTGCTATTGAACAAAACTTCCGATCTCTAAAAGTAACTCATCCTTGTGAATCATCTAATAGAAAATTGAACTCACATAGTGCACTTGAATGTAGAATGTAAACACATTTTCTTTGTCTATTGTCATTCTGTGACCTTTATTCCTTGAAAGCATTGATTGGCTATTACCTTCAGTCAGAATCATAATCGTCCAGAAAATACTATTCCAGTTCAATCTGTTTTACCTGGATGCTTCATACAATACTGAAATATCTTTGTGGGCAAAGAATACGTCACCTGTTACAGAGAACAAAGAAATTAGAACAACGTAACGTTGACGACTTTCTAAACCACGTGTTTCTGCTATAGCATTACAAAAACTAAATAATCAAACATTTTGAAAATTTCTACACCACAATAGAAGGTAGAAAACACATGATGTGCCCATATATCACAAAGCAATGCTGCATGTTATGCAAGAATGTATACAACTGTGTCTTCCAGAGGTAGATCAGGTGATAACTCGAGGTTACAACCTCTCATATGTTTGAATGAAAATGGCCAGATAAGTAGAAACCCCTAATCAATCTGGATAAAGCAAACATTACCTCTTAAGTAAGGAACTCTGGGTTTAAACAGCCTGGTACACGATACTGAAGCTAGTCTACCTATGATCCAGTAGAAGTGACAGTCTAGTATGCAACTAAGTAAGTATATACACTGTGTTTGTGTTGTAATAAAGATTGTTCATCTATATTTTACATTATGTCCAATCTTTTTATTTTGTTTTTATAAATTCAGTCAAAGTCACAGAACTCAGATTTTTTTTTTCAATAGATATCCTGACAACTCACCTGTTATTCAGCAGACCTATCCCATCATTTTCAGGATATTTAGTTTGGCCCGAATATGTAGTTTGTAGGTATTCTATAGCTTTCTGTTATTAATGAAGTTTTTCAAAAATTTCAGGTAGTCTGTTTCTGTGTAGTTTTAGCATAAACAAGTTGTCCTTAAAACCGTTATTTCTTATGAGTTATCTTTAGCCTTTTAATGTTGTCAAACAGACATTATTTACTTTCCCATATTGCCGCAACTATGCTTATTGTGTAGAAACAGGTCAGTGACAGCATGCAATGCCATTCTTTGGTTGAATAAAGGATATCTAGATGTTATAGGAGCGTTGGATTCACAGCAGTTCTACTTGGTCAACACAGTAAAAAAGTCACCAAAACGTTTTCTTGAAAGCTGTTCCCTCTCTCATTTACTGATTCTGTGGAAAGTCTATGGTTGTTCAATGTCTATGCAATTACGCACGCATCTGATAAAGATTGTGTTTCACTTAACATCACGTGTCCAGTCTGTTTATCTTCTTAACTCAACTGCAGTAATTTAGTTAAACTCAGATACTTCATAATTTTCAGTATAGACCATCCCGTTATGAAGTGGACCTATCTAATACTCTGGAGTAAGTATATTTAAAAAAAATCCAAACTACCACATTCTTCCCCTCTCACAAATAAGGCTCGTCCAAGGATTTTATCCCAGGGACGTGAAATGACTGACAAGTTGGGCGCCAGTTTTTCTTGCGGTAATTTGTATATCTTTTTAATATATTCGGTTTGAATTACAACCCTATACCTCACGATGTGGTCTACCAGCTGAACTAATATGCTAACTATTAACGTTTGTTAGTAAGTCACTTTTTAACACCTCAAATATCACAAAGCATACTGTGTTTTGAAACACAAATCAATCATGGCACCTACCGCATCCAATAAAGTTCATTTCACTTCTCCTAGAACTAACTGTAATGTTTCTTTTAAAAATAAAATCATGTTGTATGTCTATCACATATGTAAAGGCACAATAATTGGTTTGTCTTGAATTTCGCACAAAACTACACGAGGGTTCTCTGCGCTAGCCGTCCCTAATTTGGCAGCTAGTCATCACCACTCACCACCAACTCTTGAGCAACTCTTTTACCAACGAATAGTGGGATTGACCATTACTTTATAACGTCCCACGACTGAAAGGCGAGCATACTTGGTAGGACGGGGATTCGAACCCACAAGTAAAGATACAGCAAAACACACACACACATATACATACTGTTACGTCTCCGTTTGTTAATTGATTTTCCGTAACTTCGTTCTGACGAAACTTAAGCGACACAAGTCCTTTCTTAATAAAACTGGTTTATTCTTTCCGAATATAACTTTACCGATACACTCAACTTCAACAATCGCGCTAAACAAACGCTATAACTTTCAAAGAACGTCTCTCGTGCTCTCTGACTGTAGTTCAATTACTCACTGTCTACACACACATTATTGCGTCACGTTGTCACCCTCTTATATATACCAGCTACCCTATCTAGTAAATGCTAGGGCATTCATGAAGGAACAAGATAGTTCTAGAAACTAGAGGGCGTGAGAATCACATGATCTCGATGACGCAACAATATTAATATATTAGACACCAGAGTATACCTGAAAAAACAACAAAAAAACAAGTTATGTATAACTAGTAGCTAAAAGTACGAAAATACTAACTTTGCAAAATATTCAGTAACATAGCAATGCTGTAAAGCTAATGTTGCTTAGGCCTACTACGTGATCAAATTATAAGACAGTAAAAATCAAAAGATAAAGGACAACAACAAGAAAAAGCAAATCACATAAAGCGCGTGCACACAAGTAGAAACTGAGAGAAAGATACTACAGATAAATTTTTGATTTTTTTTTTATGTGATAATTCAAAACTTCCTCATTCCCTTGACTATATAATGGTTTTGATATAGTTAACTCTTAATGAAGTTTGGGTAATAGTTCAGTGTCGTCGGAAAGAGAAATGTTATTTTAGGTTTGTTGTGAAAACGGTCTCTGAGAAACAAAATTGTAGTCGTCCCGAAAACAAAACAAAATTACAAATAATAAAATAAAAGTTTTGTGAGACCGCACCGTCGGAAAGTCTTAACAGTAGTTTAAATCCAAGCACGTATCTTTACAGGCAGCCAATACCATTAAAATTGTATTCTGTTTTCAGTCATACCCGCCAAATCACTTGATGCGTTCATAACAAATTACTGTGTAAATTGTAAATAACGTTACGTAGTGACTTTACCATCTAAAATCATACAATTACTGCCCTGGCATTTCGGTTAAGGTTCCTTTACCTAAGATAGCGTCTTGACCGAAAAGTCGTGCTCATAAATAGGGGTTTTTAGAGGGTGCTCTACTCGCAACGTGCGGGTCGCGGATTCGAATCCCTTCACCGAACATGCTCGTCCTTTCAGCCTCGTAAGCATGATAATGTGACGGTAATTCCCAATTTCGTTCGTAAAAGAATAGCCCAAGAGTTGGCAGTGGGTGGTGTTGCCTAGCTGGCTTCTCTCTTGTCTATCACTTCTAAATTAGGGACGGCTAGCAAAGACAGCCCTCTAGTCACTTGGATGAAGTCTGGAAAGTTTATAAACAAATTGTAGGAATAGAATTGGTTCCACAGAAATCTTTCCAAAAACAAACACTACTTTCAGGGTGTTTCCAGAATCAGGACTACTATATAAACAATTAACAAGGATCTCAGACTTTTCCAGAATCACGTCTACTATATAAACAATTAACAAGGATCACAGGCCGTTTCCAGAATCAGGGCTACTATATAAACAATTAACAAGAGCATTCAAATGGAATGCAATTCAAAATTTTCCCTCATTTTTGTAACTTTCAAATATTATGTATATTTTTTGTTTGTGTCAATAAAAGGGTCATACCACCCAAATTTATTAAAACCCAAAGTACTATACGGGTTTCTAACTTTATCTGAATGGGTTTTCCATATTTCTCAGGTCTTTTAAATGTGACATTGATCATTTCCCATCAAAATAATCTGTAATATAATGTTAATAAGTCAGTTTCTACAGAAAAGTGTATATACTGTTACTTCAAGTGTATATACTGTTACTTTAAGTGTATATACTGTTACTTTAAGTGTATATACTGTTACTTCAAGTGTATATACTGTTACTTTAAGTGTATATACTGTTACTTTAAATACTGTTACTTCAAGTGTATATACTGTTACTTAAATACTGTTACTTTAAGTGTATATACTGTTATTTCAGTGTATATACTGTTATTTCAGTGTATATACTGCTTTAAGTGTATATACTGTTACTTTAGTGCATATACTGTTACTTTAAGTGTATATACTGTTACTTCAAGTGTATATACTGTTACTTCAAGTGTATATACTGTTACTTTAAATACTGTTACTTTAAGTGTATATACTGTTACTTTAAATACTGTTACTTTAAGTGTATATACTGTTACTTTAGTGCATATACTGTTACTTTAAGTGTATATACTGTTACTTCAGTGTATATACTGTTACTTTAAGTGTATATACTGTTACTTTAAGTGTATATACTGTTACTTTCAGTGTATATACTGTTACTTCAAGTGTATATACTGTTACTTTAAGTGTATATACTGTTACTTCAGTGTATATACTATTACTTTAAGTGTATATACTGTTACTTTAAGTGTACATACTGTTACTTTAAGTGTATATACTGTTACTTCACGTGTATATACTGTTACTTCAAGTGTGAGGGCAAAATCATTTGTGAATTGAAAAAATGATAGAGAACTTATCTTTTAATGGATTTCTGATTTTATTTTTATAAATAGTAGCATAACATTCAATTATTTGTACAAAATTGTATTGTTTAATGACAAATCATAGGATGATAAGGAAAGTACGTGATGAAAGTTGTTCTCGGGATTTTACAATATGAATGTGGGTGGTGCTTATTATAGTAACTGCCATTTTATGTAGAGGTTGTATTTACTGGCCAATAGGGCTTTTCTATAAGCGTTAGAAAAGTTGCTTCTGGAAAACTGCAAGGAATATACATGACTTTCTTTTTTTTTATATAGTAACTTAAGTCATACTGCTTGGTATATCTGTTTATATTAATCATTATATTGAAAAATTAACTCAAAATAGATATATTTTTTAGGAAAGAAGTTGATCCACGATTGTTAGGGTTAAGAGTTACCGAGTGGCGAGTGCAAAGTCTTTACATGAATTAGACTTTGAACTGAAAGAGTTTGTGATTTTTTATATTCATTTGAATTTAAATTTGTAGTTTTAAGCTCAATAATTTAGCATTATTTTGTATTTAGTTCATAATAATAATAATAATAATATGATTCAGTATTTAGAATGATAGACTTGTGTGATTTGTACGTAATACTACTAGTACCAGTATTACAAAAGAATTTTATATTTTTCCTTC